TTCTCCAGCTCCCCAGAGTTCTTCTGGCACACCAAAAGGATCCTTTCCCTTCCCCAGGAGATGCTCCAGGTCCCTACAGATGTTTCCAGCTCCCCACATTCTTCTGCCACCCCAAAGGGATGCTCCAGCTCTCCACAGGTGTTTCCAGCTCCCCACATTCTTCTGCCACCCCAAAAGGATCCTTTCCCTTCCCCAGGGGATGCTCCAGCTCCCCACAGCTGCTCCTGGCACACCAAGGGGTTGCATCCCAGCCCCTCCTCCAGGTCGTTCTGGTCCCTCTATAGGATTTTCACCCCCCAGGATGTTCCTAGAGGGATGCTCTGGCCCCTACAAGGATTCTTTGCCACGAAGGGGCTGCTCCCAGCCCCCACGGGGATGCTCTGCCCCCCAAGGGACATTTCCGTCCCGCAGGGTGTCCCAGCCGTGCTGTCCTGGCGCTGTCACCGCGGGGCTGTGGCGGCCCGTGGGCCTCCCTTGGCCGTCCCAGCCTCCAGGAACGCTCAGGCATAGGATGACAAAGGGAAGCTCACAGGGGGCAGCGGGCCCGGCCCCGCACTCCTGCGAGAGCTCCTGCGGACAAAGGAGAGACGTGAGGGGACAGCACGGGGAGCTGGGGATTCTGGGGAGCTGGGGGATCCCAAAGGGATGGGGGATCCCAAAGGCTGGGGGATCTGGGGAGCTGGGGGATTCTGGAGAGCTGGGAGATGCCAGGGAGCTGGGGGATCTCAAGGAGCAGGGGAATCTGGGGAGCTGGGGGACTCTGGGGAGCTGGGGGATCCCAAAGGGCTGGGGGATCCCAGGGAGCTGGGGGATTCTGGGGAGCTGGGAGATCCCAGGGAGCTGGGGGATCCCAAAGGGCTGGGGGATGTGGGGAGCTGGGGGATTCTGGGGAGCTGGGGGATCCCAGGGAGGTGGGAAATCCCGAGCAGCTGAGGGGATCTGGGGTGATCCCAGGGAGCTGAGGGATCCTATGGCATCCTGGGGTTCCCATGGAGCCAAGGGAGCTGGGGGTCAGAGGAAGCTGGAGATTCTTGGGCTGCCACACATCTCCAGGAGGTGAAAGCAGCCCTGGGTGTCCCTGGCACAGCCCTGGCACGGCTGAGCTCCCTGGGGTGGTTTGGGAGGTGCAGGAGGAGGTGCAGTGGGGCTGGGGGTGCAGGGATTGCTGTGGTACCCCAGGGTGAGGAGAGGGGCAGAGGGGGTGTGTGCACATCTGTGTGAGTGTGAGTGTGAGTGTGAGTGTGTGTCTGAGTGCAAATCTGTGTGTGAGTGCACATCTGTGTGTTGTGTACATCTGTGTGTGTGTGTGTGTGTGTGTGTGTGTGTGTGTGTGTGTGTGTGTGTGCATATCTGTGTCTGTGCAGATCCCTGTGTGTCTCTGCACACTCCTGTGTGTGTGCACACGCGTGCAGAGGTCCCTGTATGCACACCTGTGCATGCACATGTGTGTGAGTGCACATCTGTGTGTTGTGTACCTCTGTGTGTGCGTGTGAGTGTGTGTGTGCACATCTGTGTCTGTGCAGGTCCCTGTGTGTCTGTGCACCCTCCTCTGTGTCTGTGCAGGTCCCTGTGTGTCTGTGCACACTCCTGTGTGTGTGTGCACACGCGTGCAGAGGTTCCTGTATGCACACCTGTGTGTGCACATGTGTGTGAGTGCAAACAGATGTGCACAGGCAGAACAGGGTGGGGCCGTCCCATGGATTCCCACCCAGGCCCAGGGTCCCAGCCCAGCTCAGGGACCCTCAGGAGCCACCACCTGCCACCCCTGTCCCAGCCCCAGCCAGCAGGGCAGGGCCAGGTGCCCCCCTGGATTCTGGGTGCCACTCGTGAGTTCTGGGTGCCCCCTCAAGGTTGTGGGTGCCCTCTTAGGGTGTGATGTCCCCAGGGTTGTGATGTCCCCAGGGTTCTGGGAGTCCTCTCAGGGTGTTCCCAGGTTTGTGATGTCCCCAGGGTTGTGATGTCCCTGTGTGGCTGTGGGTGCCCTCTCAGGGTGTTCGCAGGGCTGTGGAAGTCCCCTCTCAGGGTTCTGGAAGTCCCCAAGGCTGTGATGTCCCCGGGGCTCTGGGTGTCCTCTGAGAGTGTCCCCAGGGCTATGATGTCCCAAGGGCTGTGATGTCCCCAGGCCTGTGATGTCCCCAGGCCTGTGGGTATCCCCAGGGCTGTGGGTGCCCTCTCAGGGTGTCCCCAGGGCTGTGATGTCCCCAGGGCCATGGGTGCCCTATCGGGGTGTCCGCAGGGCTGTGATGTCCCCAGGGCTGTGGTGTCCCCAGGGCTGTGATGTTCCCAGGACTGTGGGTGCCCTATCGGGGTGTCCCCAGGGCTATGATGTCCCCAGGGCTGTGATGTCCCCAGGGCTGTGGTGTCCCCAGGGCCATGGGTGCCCCCCTGCCCCCCTGCCCGTGTCTCACCAGGGAGGTGCCGCCGGTGTCGCGGTGCAGCCTCGGGCTCGTCGGGCTCTGCGCTGCTCGGGGAGGGGGACACAGCTCTGCCCCCCCAGCTCTGCTCCCCCAGCTCTGTCCCCACTGTCCCTGCTGTCTGCAAGGCCTCCACCTCACTCAACAGCCAACACATTCTCCCCTCTCCTTGTCCTTTCTGTCTCCTTCCCTCCAGCTCAGCCAGCACCGTGTGCTCTCCTCACCCTGGCATCCTCCCCAATGCTGCCCCTTCTCCAGCCCGACCTCCGATGGGATCCTTCCCCTCTGCCCTTTTATAGCGTCTTTGTTCATATGACAAGCACGTGGAAAACCAGAGCAGAGCTCGGAAAAAAGCTCCTTAAGTTGCTTTAATTCAGTTTCCTGGATCCCATGACTGAGCTCGGCCTCTGAACGAGGTCTCATGACTGTGGCACGCAGGGCCCGGCCATCAAAAGCCTCATTTATGCCCCAAATGAGACTTAAACCCCTCTTGGCTGGACCAAACATCCCCCATGCCCAGCCTGGGCCCCTCTGCCCCCCTGGCTGGGGGCTCCAAACCGGCCAGAGGGACACCTGCCCTGACCCTGCTCTGCTCTGGCTGCAGGAGGGACTCTGGGGACACTCAAGGCCTTGGCTCTGCCTGTCCCCTCCAGGAAAGGACACTGCAGAGTCCCCATCCAGGGACAAAACTGTCCAGCCCTGTCCCCCACCCAGTGCCCTTCCTTCACCCCAAACTGCAGCACCAGAGGAGGGGACAGAAGTGTGATCCCAGAGGGACACAAGTGTGATCCCAAAGGGACAGAAGTGCCATCCCAAAGGGACAGAAGTGCTGTCCCAGTGGTTCATGGCCCAGTCTGGCCCCAGGTGGGGGTTCCTGTGCCCAGGACCCCCAGCCCACGCCCTCTGAGGCCCCTGCAGCTCTCGTGGGGTGAGTGCTCCTCTGTCCCTCCCTGCTCCAGCTGCTGAGTGGGGATGGAGCCTCCATCCTGGGCCACATCCAGACCCAAAGCCCTGAGCCCTGATCCCAGTCAGGGTTCCCCACCATGGAGGTGGCACCCAGCAATCTCCATCTCCATGGACTCCCATACTCCTGACCTGCCTCTAGACTTTGGGGATCAGGCTGAACTTCCCTGACCTTTTGCCTGTTTTAAACTCAGACACAGGAAAAACAACCTCAAGCCACCTCAACATTCCCCCAAACCCAAGGAGCTCTGAGCCATCCTGCTGGCAAGGCAGAGCTGGCCTGAAGCATCCACAGCTCAACAGGAAACAGCAGCAGTAAGAGGATAAAAATACCCTGGGTGCACACAGAACGTCTCTGTGCCAGGATTAGGGAGCCCTGGGACAGTGGGGCCAGAAGGAGCTGGGCTGGGAGGCTTTGGCTTCCCACACACGTGTGAGGCCAAGGCTCCTAAACCACCTGGCCACTGCTGGCAGAGGGATGGGCAAGGAAGGAAGGACTGGGGGATTGTGCAGGGAGAAGCCAGACATCCCAGCTCATTTATGACATCCCAGCTCCTGGAGCCCAAAATCCCCCTGGAAATGAGTGAGGTCCCCTCCAGAGCCACCCACTCCTCTTCCAGCTCCTGCACAGCCCCAGCACTGGGGGAGGCTCATCCCTCCTGCTCTGCTCCTGGGGGCAAAGAGGGATGTGTGGGGAGCAGGGGTTCCCGTGCCCCCCACCTTGGCCCCCCAGCCCCCAACAATGGGAGTGCACTGGAGTGCTCAGAGAGGGGGGTGCAGCAGCTCCCCCGCCTGGCCCCTGAGCCCCTAAGGAGATTAAATCCCTCCTCACATGAGCCTGGCGGGCCCCAGGGCCTCCGTCGGGGACAGGACACTGGGAGGACAGCGACAGGGAGGGGAAGGGAAGGGCAGAGCAGTGTTTTGCTGTTTGGGCTGGGGCCAGGGATGTCCCAGGGGCAGGAAAACACACAGACAAGCAGCTCTTCCTGAGGTGGAAGAGCAGGCACTGTCCCAAAAATCACCAACCTGAGCCTCCGCCCTTCCCTGGGGCAAATTTCCTGCGTGCTGGTGGGAGGACCCTGTGGGACACCCCTGCACCTGCCCCCATGGCCTGTGCACCCCCAGAATCACTGAGGTCCCCACACAGCTCTGGTCAGAACTGGGCATGGAGCAGGTCAGAAATAGGGTTTGCTCTCTCCAGGATCATCCCATGGACCCCTGGACCAGCCTGTGTCCACCCTTGCTGTGCTGGCCTGGCACAGAGCAGGCCATGGGGACGTCCCCCTTCCCCTGTGGCACAGCCAGCCCCTTACAGCTCCTGAGGGCTGAGGCCATCCTCCACCTGTGATCCCATGGATCCCCTAATGACACAGGACAGGGGAATGGGCTCCTGCTGTCCCCAGGTCCCACTGGACACACAGACCTTTGGTCCCAGGGGCCGAGGGTATCTTCCCTGCTCCTGTTGGCACCTTGGGGTCACCCAGTCCCCAGAGGAGGGTGACAAGGTGACAAGCACTGGGGATCTGGCCAAGGGCAATCTAGGGAAGGTGCTGAACAGAGGGAAGGTTGAGGGGCTGGCTCTGGAGCCCCCAGGGGTAGGCAGGGAAAGGGCACACACAGGTGAAACGTTAAACCTCTGCTCTTTATTTGCTGCCTGCTTCCCTCGCCCCGAGGAGGTTTTCCAGGGGTGACCTGAGCACCAGGAGTGCTCTGGGAAGGCCGAGCAGCACCAGACTGGAGGAGGTGTGGGGAGGGGGGCACCTCCTCCATGCATCCCCATCGTCCCCGTGGGGACACGGCTCTGCCCCAGCCGGGGGTGAACACCGGGCACCGCCAGCGCTGGGCCCGGGAAAGCTCCATGGAGAGCAGGAACTGCCACCTCCTGTGTCCCAGGCACGGGGACACCGCGAGGGGCCGGTCCCCAGCCCCTCTCCAACTCGCCTTATTGCTATGGTCAGAGCAGCAGAGCGGCCGGGAGGGACTCGGGATGTCGCCGGTTCGGGAGAGGGGATGGGGACGTGTCTGAAGCCAAGGATCCACCCACAGAGGGTGGGCTCATGTCTCTGGGGAGGGGCAAGGAGGGAGCTGCCATCTCTGGCCGGTGGTGCCAGCAGCGCCAGGCTGGCACCAGCAGGGAGGAGAGCTGTGCTCATGGCCAAGAGCAAACACTGTCCATTCCAGGGCCTCCCGCCCTCTCCTGAGCCTGGAGCCGAGGCTGAGCAAACTCATTACAGCTCCAGCAGCAGGGACTAGGGAGAGCTACTGGGAGAACTGGAGAAACAAGCAGAACCCCCCTGCCTGTTGCCCTGGCTAGTTGCGTTGGCTGGCCAGCTCCTGGGAGATGAATTTCCGAAGGCGCTCGAGGTACTGGCTGTAGAGTTCAATGTCATTGTGCCCGGCCCCGTCCACCCACAGCGGCTCCACGGCCTTGGGGCAGCGCTCAAACAGCGCCAGGCCGTGCGAGAAGTCAATGACTTCGTCCTCTGTACCGTGGATGATGAGGACAGGAGAGGTGATTTTGGAGATCTTCTCGATGCTGTCAAAAGGGTGGATGGGGGAGAGAGGAGAGAGGGGGTAAGCACAGGGAATGAGACATTTCCACTCCTCCTGCCCCCAAAACATCCCCTGGGACAGGGACCAGGAAATGCTCTTTGATCATGGCAGAGCACAGGGACAGGGAGGGACACAGAGCTTCTGCCAAGGAAAAGATCTGCCCCAGTGTGACAGACAAGGAGCAGACAGCAGTGACAGCATCCCCATGGGACCTCGGCAGGGCTGATGGGAACTGCTGCAGGACAGCCCTTCCCTGCTGGGCTCTGAGGAAGGGAAACACAGGTCCCAGCCCATCCCAAAGGCCATGTGAGGCCATCAGGATGCAGAGCGTGGGCTGGTGGCTCCCAGCCACAGCTTCCGGCTCAGGGACTGCCCCCTGGGCCCCACTGGCCTGGCTGCAAGGGAGAGGCAAAGGAAGAGCTCAGCCTCTCAGCACCCTCCTGCTATCTGAAGAGCAGGAAAATCCCCAAGGAATTACTCTTGGGGGACAGAGGGGTCCCAGGGACACCCAGGGCTTGTGACACCTGATGGGGGCCAGCGGCACAGCCCCAAAGCTGGTGGGCAAAGTCACTGGGACGGGGTGACCAGGAGGTGATGGCACAGGGGAGTGGGCACAGTGACCTCAGGAAGGGCTACAACTCAGGAGGGGGGGCACAGTGACCCCAGGCAGGGCTACAACTCCCAGAGGGCCCCAAACACAGAGCAAGAAGATGCTGAAAGGGGATATTTAAACCTATCACAAAGAATGGCCCACATGTCACATGTCCCCTGGCTGTGACCAGAGCTGCTCTGGGCACTGCCCCTCCAAAACCCCCCTGCCCCCTGCCCCCTGCCCAGGGCACTCACTTGGGGAAGGCATCAAACCAGTAGGTCTTCTTGGTGTCGGGGAAGGCGACGCGCATGCCGGAGGTGAGCGGGGAGTGCAGCACGATGGCCGCGCACTCGTAGCGGGAGGCCAGGTCAACCGTGGGCACGGTGCCGATGCTCTGTCCGTACAAAATGATGTTCTCCGGGCTGATCCCGTACCTGGATGGGACAGGGCAGCTCAGTGGGCAGGCACATTGCCAGGAGAGACAGCTCAGGGGTTACTCTGTGCTGGTCACTGCACCCACAAGGCTCCTGGTAGGGTCTGGGGTCTGTCCCCTGATCTTGCCCAGCTCCTCATGGCTTGGCCCAGAGCAGCTCCCTGAGCTCCCAAAGGACCAGGGAGCAGCCAGGGCTGAGCTGGAGTCTGGGGTCTGTCCCCCTGATCCTCACCAGATCCTCATGGCTGGGCCCAGAGCAGCTCCCTGAGCTCCCAAAGGACCAGGGAGCAGCCAGGGCTGAGCTGCCAGCTGAGTTCTGGGGGATGTCAAGGCTTTCCCTCACCAGGTCAGGGTTATAGGGTGTACAGACCCTGGACTGTAGCCATGTGGGGCAGCCCCAGCTCTGGGTCACACCATGAGCCAGGCCCGAGGAAGAGGAGGTGAGCCTGGCACAGGGCTGCACCCCAAGCCTGGCAGGGGAACCAGAGCTGAGCCTGGCACAGGGCTGCACCCCAAGCCTGGCAGGAGAACCAGAGCTGAGCCTGGCACAGGGCTGCACCCCAAGCCTGGCAGGGGAACCAGAGCTCAGCCTGGCATGGAGCTGCACCCCAAGGCTGGGGAACCAGAGCTGAGCCTGGCACAGTGACACAGGAAGCAGAGCTTGTGCCAAGGTCATGCTCTGCAGCATGCCTGCCCCTTGGATCCTCCAGCTGCTCCCTCTACAGTTTTCCAACCACCCCTTCCTGTCTCCAGCGGCCCAGGGTTCCCCTCCTGGGAGGTTTCCTGTTTTGCAGGCTGCTGAGCACAGGGTTCTCCTGCAGGCTTTTCCATGCTCACCGTGTGCGCAGCGCCTGCCACGCGGCGTCGATGTCGGAGTAGAGGTTGCGCTCCGAGGGCCTGCCCGTGCTCACGCCGTAGCCAGAGTAGTCGTAGGAGAAGATGTTGCAGTTGATGCGGGTGCCCAGCCCGATGTAGAAGCTGCTCATCTGCCCCAGGTCCACGGCATTGCCGTGGGAGAAGAGCACCGTGTACCTGGGATGTGGGTATGGAACGTTAATCCTGGGCTCTGCTGGAGCTCCAGCTTGGAGATCCCCCAAGGGCAGCAAGCAAAGCCCAGCACACAAAGGGCCAACACCCCTCTAGCCACCAAGGGAGCTCCTTGTGACACCCCCAGACCCTTCCCTGACAGAGCCAGGGGCTCACTCCCAGCAGGAACAGGCAGCTTGAAGGCAGGATGATGATTCTGTTGAAGTTTTTGAGTCTATTTTTGGTAAAAAGCTCAGGATTTGGGGACGTTTGCCCAATGGGGATTTCAAGTAAGGATTCTGACAGCGGGTTTTTTCTCTCCTGAGCCTGGCAAGACACCAGATGCTGAGAGAGAAGTGAATTGTGGGAGTGACAAGGCACAAGAAATTTCCACCATAAGGGGAAAAACAATGTTAATCATAAAAATTAACACTAATAGCAGATTGATGAGAGCTTGGCTCCCTTCTGCCAGAGGGAGGGAGCAGGACCCACTCCCTGCTGAGCCCCTGCAGCTGGTCCAAGGGGTCTGTGGCCAGGCTGAGCCTCCAATCCTGGCCTGCATGCCCATGGAGCCCCAGCTGGAAGTTGGTGACAGGATGAGCTGGGGGAGGTCAGACAGCCAGCAGCACCTGATACCCCATGGTTTGGCAGGCCTGGTTCCCCCCAGCCCAGGTTTTCCCCTCCTGCAGCCTGGGATGCTGGTATTTGAGAACCTGTTGTTCCTGGGAGAACATATGAAAGGGGTCAGCTGGGGTGATGTGGCCTCCCTCTGCACCTGAACCCCAAAACTGTGCCACTGCTTGGGGAGCAGCTGCCAAGTTTCCTCCTGGCAGTAGGAGGAGGTCTCCATCTCACACTCCAGGGTGCCAGTTCACAGACCCACAGGAATGACCAAACCCCTCCTGGCTTTCACTCCCATCCCTCTTTTCCTTGAGGAATCAACAGATGTGAATTTGACTAAGCCAGGCTCTCCTGGCTGGCAGGGGCAGTTGCCATCCCATGGTCACCACAGGGCTGGGCACAGGGAGAAGCAGCTGGTGCAGCCACCCTGGTGCCCCCTCTGTGCAAACCCCTGGAGCATTGCATCAGTGCCACGACACCAGGGGCCTGTGAGACAGCCTGGGGAATCCCCACACCCCTGCAGCCTCGGCTTTGCCTCTGCTCCTGCTTTAACCCCACTCCCAGGGCGGCCAGACCGGTCCTGGGAGCGCAGCTCGCCCGTCCCACCGGAGCCTCCAAAACCCTGGGGCAGGGCCAGGCAGGGCCAGAGCCTCCAAAACCCCGGGGCAGGGCCAGCTCCTCCAAAACCCCGGGGCAGGGCCAGGCAGGGCCAGCTCCTCCAGCGAGGGGGAAGAGGGGACAGGAGCCCCCAGGGCAGCCCCAGGGCAGCCCAGCAGAGCCCCAGCTGGCACACCCGCGATGACTCACCTGGCGCCGGGCACGCAGCGGACGTACATGCAGCCGACGCGGTTGCCCCGGCTGCTCTTGGTGACGAACACCTCGATGTTGTCCAGCTCCCGCTGGGAGTACTGGAAATCCGCCCTCTCCTTCAGGTGCAGCTTCCAGCGGCCCGCGGCGCCGCGCAGGGAGCCCGTGCTGCCCACGGGCTCGGGCTCGGGCACCATGGCGTAGGTGGGCTCCGGGGGCAGGAAGGCCAGCTTGGCCGCGATGCGGCTGGGGCAGGGCGGGCAGCAGAAGAGGCAGCAGAGTTGGCTGATCGACAGCCCGTTCATGACGGCGGCGAGGCGGGAGGGGAGGCGGCCGCGCCCGGAGCGAGGGAGGATCCGAATCCGACAGAGGCCGGCAACGACGCCGGGCCCGGAGACGCCCCGTCCTCAGCTGGCCCTGGGCACGGCTGGCGCCGGCCGAGCAGCGCGGGCCGGGGCTGCCGTGTCCATCTGTCCGTCCGGCGGCTGCGGGGGCCTGCGGGCAGGGCGGGGGCTCTGAGGGCTCTGTCTGTCCCCTCCGTGACCAAATGTGCTCCCCGCAGTGTCCCCCCCGCTCCCCCGAGCATCCCTGCAAGCCCCCCCGAAATCCGAGCTCCTGCCACATTCGGCAGCCCCCGCGGAGGGGGCGAGGACAAGCGCAGATCCCACACACGCCACCCCCACAGCAGCCACACGGCTGATGGGACAAAGGACACGGCTCCCCCGGGGCCACCCAGGCGTTCGGGAGAGCCGAGCTCCCGAGGAGAAAAGGGGAAAGGGGAGAGGAAGGGGGGAAGAGGGAAAAAAAAAAAAAAAAAAAAAAAAAAGGCAACTATTTTCTGCAAGTTTGGGCACAGGCTTGAGCTGAGGAATGTCAAACCAGCCCACACCCCGAGGAATTCGCTCCATCTGCTTCCTAAGGCCTGGGAAAGGGGAGGAAAGGGTGGAAGAGAGATATGGCACTGAGGCTGGGATCTGGCACTGAAATAAGCCAAAATACTGGGAGTGAAGGAATGCCCCGTGCCCCGGTGGGAGCCCCCTCGGGCCGGTGACCATCCACAGCAGGGCCAGGCCGGTGTGACACCTGGCACGTGGCAGCCGTGTCCCTGCCAGGGTTGGCACCCCGTGGCACTCCCGGGGCACAACGGGCTGTCCGGTGGCCGCACACCCACGCGGGGAGGTGGCACTACGGGCCACTCACAGCGCGTGTCACACTCGTGTCGTGTGTCTCGCACACGCTGGGACAAAGCCAGGCACCAGCTGGGGACACCCCGCCGTGGGAGGCCAGCCCTGCCCGGCCCCTGCCCCGACCCACCGCACACACACCGAGCCCACACCCAGCGAGGGGGGAATCCCGGCTGTCCTGACCTCTGTGGGGCCCCCACCACTGACTGGTGGGGCTCCCCCCTCCCCGGCAGAAACAGGACCCTCACCCCACACATCCTGACCAGATTCTGGGACCCCCATCCCGCACACCCTGAGCGGGCTCTGGGACCCCCACCCCGCACACCCTGAGCGGGCTCTGGGACCCCCATCCCGCACACCCTGACCGGGCTCTGGGACCCCCACCCCGCACACCCTGACCGGGTTCTGGGACCCCCACCCCGCACACCCTGAGCGGGCTCTGGGACCCCCACCCCGCACACCCTGAGCGGGCTCCGGGACCCCCACCCCGCACACCCTGAGCGGGCTCCGGGACCCCCACCCCGCACACCCTGAGCGGGCTCCGGGACCCCCACCCCACACGTTTCCCTCCATTGCCCGCTGCTGGCCTCCCCCCAGCACTGACCCTTCCCCCCACCCCTGAGCAGTGAGTTCTCCCTCGCTGTCCATTGTGGCCCCCCCACCTTGCAGACAAGCATGGAGACACCCCCGACACTGACCCGTGGGGGCCCCCCCGACTGCTGTGGGCCCCAATCCCCTCTCTGATCGCTGGGGACCCCCCAAACACACACTGAGCTGTGGGACCCCTCCCCGATCACTGAGTGCGTGCCCCCCACAGCCCCACTGGACCCGACCCCCCCCAGTGACCACCTCGAGACCCCCCTCCTCCGACTATTGAGGGGTCCCCGTGAGCCCCCACTGGTCCTGCCCCCACCGCCGGCTGCGGGACACGCCGCCCACCGGAGCCTCTCCCGCCTGCTGGGGAGGCTCACACACCCTGCCCGGCTTCCCACTGCCCGCTGGGAGGGGTTCCACACCCCCACTGACCCCCCCCCCCCCAAACCGACACTGACCACTGTGTCCCCCCCAAACCACTGACCACTGCGTCCCCTCCTCACTGAGCAATGTGCCCCCCCAAACCACTGACCACCGTGTCTCCCCCTCACTGACCGTATCTCCCCCTCACTGACCACTATCTCCCTCCCTCACTGAGCACCGTATCCCCCCCTCACTGACCAGTCTCCCCCCCCCAGACTGCGTCCCCCACACTGACCACTGCGTCCCCCCCTCACCGACCAGCGCGGCCTCCCCCGCGTGCCGGGGCCTCCCCTCCCTCTGACCGCGCTGGGGACCCCCACCAACACACCGTGACGGCCCCGCCGCCGGGCCCCGCTCCCCGCAGGCCGCCCCCGGCCCGTGTGCCGGTCCCCAGCCCGTGTGGCCGTGCCCGCCCGGTACCTGCTCATCCTCCCGGCCCCGCTCGCCGCTGCCCGAGGCCCCGCGGCCGTTGCGGCCTCCCAGGCGGGGGCGGCGCTGGCCCCGCCCCGGCCGGAAGTGACGCCATCGTCGCGCGCCCGTTGCCATGGGAACAGCGCGGCCGCCTCTCCTCGTGCCCTGGATCCCAAAATCCCAAATGGATCCCAAAAAGCACCTGGAGATCGTCCAGGCCGGCCTTGGTCACCTGGAGCAGGTGGGCTTGGAAGGTCTCCGGAGAGGGAGACTCCACCGCCTCCCTGAGCAGCTGCTCAGTGCTCTGCCACCCTCAGTGTAAATAAGCTCTTCCTCACGTTGAGGTGGAACTTGTGGTTTCGTTTAGTTTATGGCCATTGCATCACTGGAAGGAGTCTGGCACTCACGTTGGAGATATTTAGGTGTATTGGTGAGATCGCCTCTTGTTGGACAATATACCAAGTTTAAATTTTTTATTTCCTAACTTTAGTCACGTTTGTTCGCCTTTGCCCCGGGGGAAGGGAACGGAAGTTTTCCTCCAAAGCATTGTTCCACCTGCAACAATGAGATCGGCATCTCAGCAGGCCCTGAGCAGCACGAGAGATACACGAGAGATAAAGGCCATCAAGGGCCATTGGCGAACATCAGCGAACGTTACTCCAGGCCTGCCCCCTGGCAAAGCTGGAGACATCTGGAAAAGGCTGGTAAGGAAATGCAAATCAGGAGTGAAGACCTAATTAACATCAGAGGCGAGGAAATCCGTATCCGATAGGAAACCAAATACCAAGAACTGCGCAACTCGGGACCAATGAACATTAAACATTGATTTCTATGGGTTTGGGACTGTAGAAAATTTGACAAAAATCTAGAAATTTGAAAAAAAATCATGGAGCGCGGTCCCCTGCGGCTGAAGGGCAGCGGGGGCCCTGGGGACCGGCAGGCGGGAGAAGGAGGCGAAAGACAAAGCCCAGATCACGGGCAGCAAGGAGCAGGGAGGAGGAGGAGGAGGAGAAGCACGGGCTGGACAAGCGCACCCCGGCGCAGGTGGCCTCGGAGAAGATGCAGGAGAAGCAGCAAATAGAGCAGATCCTGAAGAAAGCGTCGAAAACCCGCAAGGAGCGAGTGGAGGAGTTCAGCGGGCACTTGGATGCTCTGACCGAGCACTGCGATATCCCAAAGGCAGCTGGGATGAACGGGCTGCTTGTCGCGGCTCTGGAGCTGGGTTTGGTTTGTATCGATGTAAACCTGGCTGTTCTCCATATTGTTATATTCTCGAATGCAACTTCGGAGCTTTTGTGACTTTAAGCTGTCTTATTTTATAGTCTTTGAAAAAAAAAAAACAAGCATCCAACACTCTCACTCTTCTCTGGATTAAGCAAGCCCAGCTCCCATGGTCTCTCCTCATCAGAGAGAAGCTCCAGACCCCAAATCACCTTTGGGGCCTCCACTGGACCCTCCCTAGTAGCTCCTTGTCCTTCTTGTCCCAGAAGTGGACACAGCACCCCAGCTGTGCCTCCCCAGGCAGAGGGGCAGGGTCCCCGTGTCCCCCCTGGCCCCAGGACACTCTGTGCCATCCCCCAGCAGCCCCGGGTCCTTCTCTGCAGAGCTGCTCTCCAGCGGTCACCCCCAGCCCGTGCTGCCCCTGCGGTTGTTCCTCCCCAGGGTCTACAAGGACTCTACACTTGCCCTTGTTGACCCCCCCAGGTTTGCCCCCACCCAGCTCTCACCCAGCCCCTCAGGGTCCCTCTGGATGGCAGCAGGGCCTGTAGGTGAATCAGTCACTCCCCCTGCTCTGAATCACCGTGAAACCCGATCAGGATCCGGTCTGCCCCTCGGGCAGGGCGCTGCTACACGAACTGCACAGGCCTGGTGGAGGCACCGAGCCCTGGGGACAGTGCTGGGCACAGATGGGCTCTCCTGTACTCACCAGGCCCTCCCTTCATCCAGTCCATCCTCCCACATTTCCCGTGTCTCCCTGCAGAGATGTCACCAAGCTGAAGTCAGTCCTGGTGCCACTGCCCAAACGCCCCACATGGATATGGAGGGGGAGGCTTTGGTGTCCCAAACTCCCTTTCCTCCCCCAAGGGGGTGACAGCAGACAAGAGCAAACCCAGGAGAACCTCAGAGCCCCTCAAACCCAGCCAGGGCTTCCTGCTCACCCAGATTTGTCAGGGTTGAAGTGACCTCTGGGGATCATCCAGCCCAGCCCCTGGTGGATTTGAGATCTGGGGGTGCAGGTGTGGGGTGCTCTGATCCCCAGCCAGCTCCAGATACTGTCAGTGATCATCCACAGGGAAACTGAGGCACAGAGCCCCAGAGCCACCCCAAAAGAGCCAAGCCAAGCCCCACAGACATTCCTGCCTGAAACAGAGCACCCACAGCATCCAAGCAAACTAGACTGTGTTGTATTTACACTCATGGACAGGGAGGGAGAACAGGGAAAGGGGCGGTGCTGGAGAAGCAGGTGGCTGTGGGCTTTCCCAAGGGATCCGTGGAAGCTGCTGCACTTCCTGGGGCTGGTGGCTGCAATTCCTGCATCCCCCGAGGGTGAGGGATCATCCTCAGCCAAAAGCTCTGTGGCAAACCCAGCCTGGCCACGCACCAGCTCCAGCTCCCCAGGTGTGTGCAGGGGTGCAGCCACTTGCATGCTCCAGACATGATGTCAATGTTATCCAGAAGGAAAAACCTGAGGAAAAGGCTGGTGAGAGGCAGCCTCACTCCTCTCAGTGCTGGAAGGGGGGTTTGCAGCAGTTTGGGAGGTTCAGATGCTGCTGGCAGCTGGCACAGAGCACACACTGCTTTGGCTGGAGCAGACTGCAGAAACCAAACACTCAGAGGGATCTCCCCCACCAGCACCTGGGCAGAACTGCCACAAGCAGGGCAGGAAAACAGCCCTTGGAAGGAAGGAGCTGCTGTGATCTCCCCCAGCTGGGCCCTGCAGCTCTGCTGACACCAAGGGAAAGCTTCCAAAGCGTGGGATGGCCAGCAGAGTGGGACAGAGGCTGCTGCTCATCCCCCGGGACACAGCCGGGCTTCTCTGCTTGAGAACCAGAGCCCCATGGCCACAGCCCTGCTCCTGGTATTCCCAAGAATCCCCTGGGCATGGAAGAGGCTGTGGCTGTGCCCCAGGAGCCTCTGCCTGCCTTGTGCTGCATCCCTGAGCCCCAGGTCCTCCCAAGAGAGCCCTCCAGGTGCTCCTTCTGGAGGTGGTACTGAGTGGCATTTGGTTTTTCCTACACCTCCCTTCCTGTGTGAGTGAGTGTCTGCACCCCCAGAGCCTTCCAAGTGGCTTTTGGGGTGCTTGAGGCCTCTGAGCATGTTCACTGTACCCCAAAGTTCTCCTTCTGCCTTCCCTTGCACCCCAGAGCCTTCCCTGGGCCTTCCAGCACCTCAGGGAATTCTGAGTCTCAGTCTCTCACTGAGCCCAGAGCCCTCCAAGCACGTCTCCCTGCTCCCTGGGTCTCTCCATGGGTGTTTCTGAGCCCCCACCTGGACTTCTGGGCACCCTGGGATCCTCCTTGTGACTTTCCCTGTGCCCCAGTTCCCTCCGTCTGGCTTGCAGAGCATCTCCTGGGGACCTGGCCCTGCCTCTCAGCCCACAGGGAGGGAGGAGGCAGAGGAGGGCAGCTGGGTGGGCTCCCCAAGCTCTCCCCAATACCAGCATGGCCCACATGGGAGGAGGGGACCCCACTATCACCTGGATGCAGGGACAAGTCCAGAAGCAGAGGTGTGGGACCTGAGCTTTGTGCACAACCCTGATGAGAGCGACTCGTGTAAGGCAGAAGGCAGGGAGAGAGAGAGAAGGGAGAGGAGAAAGGGGAGAGGAAAGAGGGGAGAGAGGAGAGCAGGCACAGGCAGCACTGAGGGACACACACCTTGCTGGGAAAGCAGCCGGGGTTATCCAGGGGTGCTGGAGCAGGAGGCTGGAGCAGGGGTGTCCCTGGCTCCCTCCCTGTGGAGAGAGGCACACGACAGCGAGCAGAACCTTCTGGAAGGTCCTGCCCTGCCCACGTCACTTCAAACCACAAAATATCTTCCCTGTGCCAGCATCACTGCTCAGCCCCCTTGGTGCTTCTCCAACAGCGGCAACAGAGGGTGGGGAGAGGGGTCTGGGGTGCTGGAACTACAGAATCAACTTCTCTGCATGGGGCAGCAAACACCTCCCAGGGAGCAGATGGCAGCTGGGCTGCCAGGATCCCCCAGCTCCCGGGGCTACAGGCAGAGGGAACAGAGCCCAGGCTGCTCGGGGACTGCTGCCACAAGCCCTGGGTGGTTTGCAGGACTCGGAGCTGCCGGGAAGGGAAAGGCTGAGCCCGGCTGAGCCCAGCAGAGCCCGGCTGCTCCCACCGTGCAGTGCCCGGCAAGAGGCGAGTGCGAGGCCTTAGAGCCAGAGCAGCCGGGCAGGACGGTCCCTTTTCCTTTGGGAAGCTGGTTGAGAACACATCAGCTGAGCTGTGGCTGTCGGACAGGCAGGGAGGGAGAGGAGAACACCAACTGACTGCCAGAGGCGCGAGGAGGCCCCGTGTCCAGGTGCCGGTTTGTGTGCGCTGCCGGAGCCACCCTCGCACCGCCGCAGGGGCTGGGAGGAGGAGGAGGAGGAAGGCTGGGAGGAAGGGGAGGAGCACCAGGCAGCCTGGCTGCAGTTCGAGCTGCTCGGACCCCTTCACAACTTCTGGATCTTCTCGGCGATAACGATGGGGTTTTCCTTGCGGATCTTCTCGGCAGCTTCTGCCTTGTAGTCGTAGGGGCAGGCGTGCATGTCAGAGTACCGGTGAATGGCACAGAACAGGTTCCCGCAGCGGCAGTCGAAGCCTGAGGGGAGGAAGAGCAGGGACAAAGCCACATCAGACCCCATCCAGCTGGGCAGGAAGGCAGCAGGGCCTGGCTCCTTCCTGCCAGGCCAGGAAATGCCACCAATGCAGAGAGAGAGGGCCAAGGGAGGGGGGCCTGCACAGGCCAAAGGGACTCTTCATTTGGGGAGGACCATGGGTGGCTCTTGGCTTTGCTCTGGCTCAGGAGCTCTGTGTGCTTTGGGCAGCCCCAGCTGTCACATGGTGGGAAAGGCTCCCAGAGCAGCTGCTGTCCACATTCCCTGGGGACAAGGGACGTGCCAGGCACTGCAGAGTGCCAGATTGCTGATCCAGACCAGGCTCCCCAGGCAGCCCGAGCTGGAGCTGAGCCCTCCAAGCCAGTCCAGCTCCCCAGGGTCACACAGCAGCAGCTGGGCTGACCAGCAGCTGGGCTGACCAGCAGCAAGCAGCAGAGCTGTCACCACCTTAGGATCACCCCCTTACGTTTGAGCTATTAAGGCTTCAAAATTCTTACTTTAGTCACTTCACTCAGGAACAATGCTCAGAGTGCTACCATTAAGACAGCACACTGGGAAAGCAAGGCAGGGAGCAAGCAGGGGATGTGCTGCAGGACAGCAGGGAATCCTGCTCTGTCCCTTCATGTTTTTCCAACTACAGGCTGTAAAGCCCACAAACACCTTGCTCCAAGGTGCCAGTTCACTCCTGGTAGAGAAAACTCATTTTATCCTAATGCCCTGAATTCACAGGAGTTCACTCTAAGTTGAATCCTAAAGAAGAGAATTTCTCATAGTTTAAAGGAAACCCTCATCCAGGAAAAAAATCCTCTCTGCAAGCTGAAGGCTGGGCACAGAGCACCCAGCCCAGATCCAGGTTTATAAACCTACCTCTATTCTAGGACAGTGCCCGTGGATTTCCAGGCAAACTCAGGTTCAAACTCTCAGTCTAGACTTGGCCAAAGCCTCTTATAAGTCAGTCCCTGGCTGCTGGATGCCCCAAGCAGGCTACAGGAGCAAGTGCTCTGCCAGAACAACATGACCTGCACAGCTCCAGAGTTAACTTTCTTCCAGAGAAGCATTAAATGCCAGAGATAATTTAGGGGAATGATGTTTTTATTAACAAACCACAGCCAAATTAATTGCTTCACTTTCCAGAAGCTGTTTTCCCATTGATAGCAGTGCCCTGACACCATCCCAGCACTTCTCCCTCCAGCTTTACAGGCTGCATGCTGAGAGCCATCCTGCTCTCAGGAAGCTAACAGTGGAAATCAGGCAGCATTAACAAATGGGATGAGTCTTGGAGAGAGATTTTCCATTTGGGTCTAGCTCAGTTCATGTCACTGTTACGAAAGCTTTACCACAGACCTGACCGGGAGCGGATTCTGATCCACAGCGAGCTCTGCCTTCCTCTACAGCAGCTTCTGCCAAGAACCAGGAACAACCAAGAGGTGCTGCTGCATCCAATCCTGCTCCCAAGGGCTGCCAGGACCCT